TGAACTCCAACAATGGAATTGAACCAATCTTGCCACACAGAACTCCCAAATACTGGAAGGGTTTGGTGGGAGTTGCGTTTTGGAGTTGTAGTTCACCTAGATCCAGAGAGCACTGTGTACTCAAACAATGATGGATCTGGACCAAACTTGCCATGAATACTCAACATGCCCAATGTGAATGTACACTAGTGGAGTTTGGGGAAAATAGACCTTGGCATTTGAGAATTTTAGTTGCTGGGATTTATAGTTCACCTACAATAAAAGATCATTCTGATCCCTACCAATGATAGAATTGGGCCAAACTTCCCACATGGAACCCCTATGACCAACAGAAAATATGTTTTTGGATGGTCTTTGGCGACCCCTCTCAAACCCCCTCATGACCCCCCCAGGGGTCCCGACCCACAGGTTGATAACCACTGCTCTAGACCATGGCCATATAGCCCGAAAAACCTACAACAACCCAACCAGGGATTCATTGGATGCAGGCATTAAGTAGCAGATGATTCACAAGTATTGCTCCACAAACAAGGAGAAGCCTTGAGTTTCCTGCAACAGATCAGATTGTGATGACACAATCCTCTGGGAGAACCCCTGATGCCTTCTTGAAGGAATCTGTCAGATGAAACATCACTGGCCCTCAAATCCATAGGATCAGTATGTCGTTTCACTGATCCACATCATGGGAGAGAGTTGTGGTTTTACAAGGCTTTTCACTTCCTCTGCCAAGGAGTGCCTGTGCCAAATCAGACTACATCTCCCAGCCTGGGACGTTCCCCCATGGCCACCAATGGGCCGGATCTTGCCAGAGCAAAAATGGATTGAAAAATGGCTTTTTGCCCTATCTCTCCTCTTGTTTTCATAAATGGACTCCCCACAAACTCTTATGAGTTCTTATGAACTTTCATGAACTTTATAGGAACTTTTTTTAAACTCTTGCCAAACTTTATGAACTTTTATGGACTCTGGGGAGGCTGACGTGACTTCCCCTTAGACCCTGCATGATTCCCCACTTTTCCTATGAACTCTGTGTATGCTTCCTTTAGATCRCCATTGAGAKCTKYTTKCAATGTGATAGTATCTTTAGATACTTATTKAGTYGTTACTTTATAATAGTATCTTTCAACCTCKATTGAGAACTAGTTKCTATGTGATATTACCTTTAGATCTCCATTGKGAKCTAGTTACAATGTGATAGTTTCTTTAGATACTTATTAACAAGTAGTTYCTTTATAATAGTATCTTTCYARCTCCATTGAGAACTAGTTACTATGTGATATTACCTTTAGATCTCCATTGAGAACTAGTTACAATGTGATAGTATCTTTAGATACTTATTAACAAGTAGTTACTTTATAATAGTATCTTTCAATCTCAATTGAGGACTAGTTACTCCGTGATTGCATCTTTAGATCTCCATTGATAACTTGTTACTGTGTAAACTGGGGCTCTCTTACCCTTCACTCCAAAAGGATGCTGCATATTCTCCATATTTTCCACAAAGAGACAGCGTATTTTGCTATGAAATTCCAGCACAAACTTAGAGTGGGATTCATGGGATTCATAGTTCACCTACAATCAAAGAGGATTTTGAACTCCACCAACAAAGGAACTGAACCAAACTTGGCACACAGAACTCCCATGACCAACGGAAAATATTGGAAGGGTTTGGTGGGCATTGACCTCGAGTTTGGGAGTTGTAGTTTGCCTACACCCAGAGAGCACTGTGGATTCAAACAATGATGGATCTGGAGCAAACTTGGCACGAATATTCAATATGCCCAAATATGAACACTGGTGAAGTTCGAGGAAAATAGACCTTGGCATTTGGGAGTTGTTGCTGCTGGGATTTATAGTTCACCTACAACCAAAGAGCATTCAGAAGCCCACCAACGATAGAATTAGGCCAAACTTCCCACACAGACCAACAGAAAACACTGTCTGTGATGGTCTTTGGCGACCCCTCTGACACTCCCTCGCGATCCCTCCAGGGGTCCCAACCCCCAGGTTGAGAACCACTGCCCTATATGTATGTATGTAGGGAGGAGGGAGCAAGCTTGTTTTCTGCTTCCTTGGAGACTAGGACGTGGAACAATGGCTTCAAACGACAAGAGAGGAGATTCCATCTGAACACGAGGAAGAACTTCCTGACTGTGAGAGCCATTCAGCAGTGGAACTCTCTGCCCCGGAGTGTGGTGGAGGCTCCTTCTTTGGAAGCTTTTAAATAGAGGCTGGATGGCCATCTGTCAGGGGTGCTTTGAATGCAATATTCCTGCTTCTTGGCAGAATGGGGTTGGACTGGATGATGGCCCAGGAGGTCTCTTCCAACTCTTTGATTTGATTCTATGTCTATATAAGAAAATATGAAGGAAAGTAACCTTTTCATGAACCAGCAACTCATGGCTCTTGGTGTTTCCAAACTCCCTGAGCTGATAATTCCCTAACAAAGGACCCAACTAGATCCATTTGCATGGACAATAGATAATGACTCTATCTATCTGGACCTCGGAGGGCTGATAGCCAGGCCATCCAGATTAATGGAGTCTATGGACGAATTGGATCACCCAACACAAAGGATATTTCCTCATCTGCGAGGAACCGGGGATTTGTCACTGCCTCCCTGCTGTGCCACACCTGGATCTCCAAAACTCATAGATGTTTCATCAATGAACTCCATATCGCAGGATAGTAAAAATAAAGGACCTGGAATCTCAGGGCCAGACAAAAATATTAATTCAAGAAACAGAACAATAACTCAGACCAGGCTTGAGAGACTGAAGCTATTGCCGGGTCATTTGGCAAACACTGGTCATAGACATTGGCTGGGCGGCCAAAAGCATGGCCAGGACCCTCATTGGATCTCCCCCTGGCTTGCTGATGTCACAGCCAATCATAACAAAGCCAGCTTGGAGGGGGGGGGCATGGGAAGTTTTGAATCTGAAGGCTTTAAATATTGTGTTTTTCTGCCCAGTGAGTTATGTTGGCTCCTGGGCAGATTACTGCGGTCGTCATCCATCCCAGCTGGAATGAAATAAACATCTTGGTGGCTTTCCTTCAACTTGGTGAGGCTTTATTTTGGGGAAAATTAGCAAAAACTCTTCTTTGGTGATTGCTCTCTCGCCAGGCGTTCCGGATCCTCTTTTTGGGCCTGGCAGGGCCCCCCAAATTCGTGTTCGACATCTGAAAAACAGACACCAAAAATGGCACAGTGTTTACCCCGAAATGCCTTTCCAATACCCGAGGATGCTTTTCCAATAGACCAGTGGTTCTCAACCTTCCTAATGCCGTGACCCCTGAATACAGTCCCTCATGTTGTGGTGACCCCCAACCATAACGTTGTTTTTGTTGCTACTTCATAACAATCAGTTTACTACTGTTATAAATCATAATGTAAATATTAGATATGCAAGATGTATTTTCATTCACTGGACCAAACTG